GCCTTTCTTACTGAAGTCAACCTTTCTAAGGACACACTGCTTCTGATTTGAAAAAGTTTTCAAATCACAGCTACACACATTCAACAAATTCTCCTCAAACATTGCTCGTTCAGCTGCTAATCGCACCAAATTAAGAACATATAAGTTAGCTTTGCCAAAACCGCTAAATTTTTCCCATCGCCTAATCCGTTCATTATAATAGATAAAATAACAAAACTACAATACGTACAATAGATAAATAAAAATTAACATATTTTCTTCAATCATCAAAAGTACTCCAGCTCATCATGCTCCTTTAATTCTTCCTTGACACCATGCAGATGAGTCTTGTGCTGAAGATCCCAGAAAATTCTCAAGTGTAGGTAGCTGTTATCGCCAACACGAACCTAAAAGTGGGCAAATTTAAAACAGAGAATATCTACATTTTACGCTACGGCTATTAGCAGCTAAGAAGAATGAAAAAATTGCATAAAGAACGGTTTAATTACACACAACGCAAAAGATAGTAAAGTCAATCTGGTAACTCGTACGATTTACCACACAGAGTGGTAATATCAATGGAAGAGAATTTTATGCTGAATACTCCGGCAATGCATCTCATGCAACAGGTTAGAGTTATTAACTAAATACATACAGTGACAGGAAAACACCAAATGTACAACGAAGTTGGAGTTCATTCAGAAATCTGATATTATCTGATCGAGTAACACACTACTATCACTTATAATTATAATAATAATAATATGCTGTCATTGTGTCAGAACGCAGAACTGAGTTTAATGCCATCCAGCAGATGTTATTGCTGCTGGTAACGAAACGCGGTACTATCAGTAAAACTTTCCAATTTCTAATTTACGTTTGGGTTCCTAACCATGTATTGGGAGAAATATATGTCATTGAATTACGGGGCAGAACCAAAAATTCTTTATAATAAAAAACCTAAAAGAGAAAACAATCTTTCAAGAAAAATAGGCAAGGCCAAGTTGACGATTTAGATCTGCGGATTACATAATGTTCATCCAAACAACCATGCAAGAGTAAAAATGCTAATCTTTAAGGAAAATGACGTGGTTTCATTAATTAAATTTCTACAAAAATCGGTTATGAAAAATTTTCCAATTAGAAAACTAAGAAACTTTCTACAAATGTTCCCATTTCATAAAAAAATCAAACCAAATTAGATGCTCTACTTAACTGCTAGAACGGATAAAAGGAAATAAAAACTACAGCTTTGAGAATTGCCTTAGATCTGCCTGTTCGACAGAGGGGAAAACAGTTAGTGTGCAAAACTACTAAACCAGAAAAATTCCGGTAGATTTTCGTCGTTCTGTGCGAAATCCGTACTAGTTTGCATTCAAGTAAAAAAATCACATTAAATTTACAGAATGATTTAAAAAACGGCTAAATGCCATGCTGATACACTGAGAATGGAAAAGACTGCGATGAAGATTTCGATAATTCTCAAATTTCAATGAAGATGCGCCATCGTAACAAACATCTTTTCATACAGTTTATGACATAACGTAATTCTTCGTTTCGGTGTTATCAACCTGGAACAAATTACCGTTTCTTTCTATAAGGCTATCTCTACAGATTGATGAACAATAGAATGTGTAGTCTGCTGTTTCCTTCCCACGAAGAAAATATGCAGTATTATCTCATCAAGCTCGAAATGCATTGCCTCAATCCTAAAACTACAAAGACAGAGGGGGAGTGAATTCTAATTCACTCCTCATTGAAAATTTATGACCGTAGTCACAAAGGATGTAAACTTTTAGAACTCGGTAAATTTTATTAGAAAATAATCTTTCTAAATAAGAGAAATTATTAAATTAATAATAACATAATTCTGAATCATATATTGGTTTTTATTCAAACTTTTAGATGAAGCATAGTACTTATTTATTTTCAAGGCTCAAAGCACTATGATATGCTAAAAAAAGTAATTACTAAACAGCTAAATGCCTTGGTTGTGCCTAACCTCGCTTACAATGTTCATAAAAGGACGATCATGGACCACAAAAATTTTGAAGTACTTATGCCCAGTAAAATTTTTTAAAAATGGTATTTATTACTGTTCTGCAAGCTTAATAAAAAATGAAGCAGGACAGACATACAATTAACGACATAATCAGTAAAGAAACGCGCAAGCAAACAATAAAAATAGTTGTCTACTAAGTTTTATTTTAACTTAGTTGAATGGTAAATTAATCGAGAAGCCGAAAGGTCGTTTAATTCCTTACCAACTATCAAGGCTAGTTTTAACGGTTATGTGGAAACAAAGTAAAAAAATTTAGCTTGTAAAACTCAATCTTACTATTTATTATATTACAAATCTAATTATGTCAATACCTACATATCACGTTAATACTGGACGCTAACATTACGCTAAAATACCGTATGATATAAATCATATTAGGAATTTTACATAATACGTAAGTATCCAT